TTTAAATTTATATCTACAACTTGATGTTCTACAAAATCTAAACCTAAATAAGTTGGAATTTTGTTTTCTATTTTTAAGGTTTTTTTAATTTTAAGCCAACTATTCATTAAGTGTGTTAATGTTATGCTAGGATAATCTTTTCTTTGAAAAAGTTTGGTAGTATTCCAAATTAAACAATCCAAGCTGGGGGTTCCTCCTGCAGTAAGTTCTGTTTTATACCAACTTTCGTTTTTGTTTTCTTCTACTTGCATCCTGTATATATGTAAAATTATCGCTGCCCTATAATTATTTAATATTAAGGGATAAGCCAGTCCTCCTTTATTCAGTTTTTGTGTTAGTGTTGACTGACTCAGTCTTGGTTTTTTGCCTTTCCATATATACTGAGTAAAACTTTTCTGTATTAATTGCAACCACTGGTCAGAAATACTTAATGGCAACATTTGGAACAAGTAGTTCCATTTTTGGAATGACGTATGAATTCACTACATTAATCCTTCCCCAGAAAGATATTTCTAAATTTCTTCGGTTTTTCAACCATTTGTTAAGATTTTGCAATAAATCCAAAAAATTAATTTCCATTATTTTATTTACATCTCTAGTCAGTTTAACTCCCAAATAATCCATATTATTTTCGACCCATAAAAAATTATATCTATCTTTAATCTTATTTTTCATTTGTTCATCCAAATTAATGTCCAGAATCATAGATTTATTTATATTTAATTTGTAATTAGATATTTTACTGTAGTTGTCAATTTCTGACATTAAAAAATCTAATGAAATTTCCGGTTTTGTTATGGTAATTAAGATGTCATATATAGAAAAGGACTTTAAACTGGCAACAGTAGTAGTGTATTCTGGACAACTTGGAAGTCCGTGCCTTAAAATACCTACAGTAATGCGATGTTGGGCTATTGGGAGAAGGGAAGGGTAGCCGAAACAGAAAAGAATCAGCTCCCTAATATCTTATAGATAGTGTTCCTGCAAAAGTGATCACCTGACAGTGTCTTTATTAGATCCTTATTATTAGCAAGAAATCACCAACTAAAAAGTCACCCATCAGGGGTTAAAGAAAGAAAATTTCCCGTGGAGCCACTGGAACAGTATAAATAAAGAGAGAGAGGAGGTTGTAACTACAATGTTGTAGTCAATAGTGCAAGAAAGAAAGATAACCCCTTGGTATGGGTTATTACCCCTCTAATCTCTTTATAAAGGAAAGAGAGGTTCTGCACTAGTCCCTATCGTCCTCCCAACACCTTCGAGGGTGTTCTAATCTATGCCTCAATCTACAAGAGAGGGAGAGATATACTGCCTAGTGTGCCATCACATTAACTGTGAGGACAGCACTGTATAAGGTAAAGAAAAAATAAATAAAATAACCTACAAGGGTCTAAATACCCATGGTGAAAAGAAGTGTCCCTAAAGTGAGCAAACAAAAAGTGATAAAGAAATCGTGACGAGCTGTACGCCCGACGCGCGTTTCGGTGTTTAACAACACCTTCGTCAGGGGATAAGAAATGTCTCGTGAAAAAGCCGGGACTTTTAAATCGCCGTGTATCCAATCAGATGTGAGGTCCCCCCCCCACGTCATTAGATCATGTGTCCGGGATATCCTCGCGTCATTCATGACGTGTGACCCCATGTGACCTAGCCTGTAGGCGGGGCGAATTACATCAATAATGACGCATTGCCCCCACGTGGCTGTCCATGGTTAGAAGGAATGGGTTGGACAGTTAGGCGGACGTCATTTTATTGGCGAATCAAATGATGTATTCGCCGATCAGAGGCTAAAGGGAGTCTAAGAGTAAATAGAGAAGTCACGATGTGTAAACATTGAATATGTGACTTCATTTGTCGTCTATTGGAATTACTCTGTCTAAATAGAAATATAGGTAGCTGTGTATATAAGAGATATTTTATTGTTAACTGAAAAGTATAACTTTTTCCGTTTAGTCAATTTTATTATACAATGATTGCTACAAAATAAAAGAACAGAGAGGTAAAACCCTATAATTGTTCAACAGTTTCCGTCCCGCTTAGAGGATGCGTTAACTGTATGAAACGTTAAGAAGGGTCATATTGAGTATTTTGCAATGTTAATAATGAATGAAGAGAGTATTCAATGCTACTATTACATCAATTGATTTAAAGGAGATTGGCACAGGATTTAAAAAAGGGGTAAGTGATGAGTTAAATTATTTACAGTGAATTATTTACAGTGCTGGTTAGAAGTTACAAGTTGTCATGCTTTTTATTTTAGGAGATTATGTAAAGACTCAAAAACTTTTACTGATAGCACTAAAAATCAGCAGTTTGATACACGTTCCTTTTTCAATTGTAGTTCAAAAGGACTGGTTTATCTCATCACTTGCCAATGCCATATGTCCTATGTGGGAAAAACCTTCCGTCCTTTCAGAAGAAGAATCCTTGAACATATCAACTCTGTAAAAACTACAAGACATATAGAAACTCCAATCTCCAGACATGTTAAAAATGTACACAGTGGAGATCCTACAGTTTTGAAATTTCAGGGCATAGAACTTATTAAACAGGACCAAAGGAAGGGCAACTGGGATCAACATATCAGAAAAAGGGAATGCTATTGGATCTATCGGTTGAAAACTCTGACTCCTAATGGACTGAATGAAGGGTTTACTTATAGCCCCTTCATTACATAATCTCCTAAAATAAAAAGCATGACAACTTGTAACTTCTAACCAGCACTGTAAATAATTCACTGTAAATAATTTAACTCATCACTTACCCCTTTTTTAAATCCTGTGCCAATCTCCTTTAAATCAATTGATGTAATAGTAGCATTGAATACTCTCTTCATTCATTATTAACATTGCAAAATACTCAATATGACCCTTCTTAACGTTTCATACAGTTAACGCATCCTCTAAGCGGGACGGAAACTGTTGAACAATTATAGGGTTTTACCTCTCTGTTCTTTTATTTTGTAGCAATCATTGTATAATAAAATTGACTAAACGGAAAAAGTTATACTTTTCAGTTAACAATAAAATATCTCTTATATACACAGCTACCTATATTTCTATTTAGACAGAGTAATTCCAATAGACGACAAATGAAGTCACATATTCAATGTTTACACATCGTGACTTCTCTATTTACTCTTAGACTCCCTTTAGCCTCTGATCGGCGAATACATCATTTGATTCGCCAATCAAATGACGTCCGCCTAACTGTCCAACCCATTCCTTCTAACCATGGACAGCCACGTGGGGGCAATGCGTCATTATTGACGTAATTCGCCCCGCCTACAGGCTAGGTCACATGGGGTCACACGTCATGAATGACGCGAGGATATCCCGGACACATGATCTAATGACGTGGGGGGGGACCTCACATCTGATTGGATACACGGCGATTTAAAAGTCCCGGCTTTTTCACGAGACATTTCTTAGCCCCTGACGAAGGTGTTGTTAAACACCGAAACGCGCGTCGGGCGTACAGCTCGTCACGATTTCTTTATCACTTTTTGTTTGCTCACTTTAGGGACACTTCTCTTCACCATGGGTATTTAGACCCTTGTAGGTTATTTTATTTATTTTTTCTTTACCGTATACAGTGCCGTCCTCACAGTTAATGTGATGGCACACTAGGCAGTATATCTCTCCCTCTCTTGTAGATTGAGGCATAGATTAGAACACCCTCGAAGGTGTTGGGAGGACGATAGGGACTAGTGCAGAACCTCTCTTTCCTTTATAAAGAGATTAGAGGGGTAATAACCCATACCAAGGGGTTATCTTTCTTTCTTGCACTATTGACTACAACATTGTAGTTACAACCTCCTCTCTCTCTTTATTTATACTGTTCCAGTGGCTCCACGGGAAATTTTCTTTCTTTAACCCCTGTTGGGTGACTTTTTAGTTGGTGATTTCTTGCTAATAATAAGGATCTAATAAAGACACTGTCAGGTGATCACTTTTGCAGGAACACTATCTATAAGATATTAGGGAGCTGATTCTTTTCTGTTTCGGCTACCCTTCCCTTCTCCCAATAGCCCAACATCGCATTACTGTAGGTTTTTTAAGGCACGGACTTCCAAGTTGTCCAGAATACACTACTACTGTTGCCAGTTTAAAGTCCTTTTCTATATATATACTTATCCGGGTCCAAGCCCTTTGGTGGACTGGCACCACCCCCTGACCACTATCCTTGTCCATTGGTCTCAGTACACCTCTTTTTTCATCTTTGCAGGGGTTCGGGACTATTGGACAATTTATTTATTTTTCTCTAATTAAGATGTCATCAGCATATAAACTTAATTTCTGTTCTACATCTAATGTTTTGTGGCCATAGATTTTTTTATTGTTTCTAATATTCTCGGCTAATGGTTCAATAGAAAGCAAGTATAATAACGGTGAGAGTGGACATCCCTGTCGTGTGCCATTTTTCAGTTGGAACCATGGAGCTATGATATTTGGTCCTTTAGTACGTGCTGATGGATTTGCATAAAGGGCCATGATGGCTTTCTTAATCCAACCATCAAAACCATAGTGTGACAATACTGCATCCAAATAAATCCAGTTGACTCTGTACTAAGAATCTTGGATCCCAAACAATATCTGGTCTGCTGGAAATTACCTCCACCCACCTACATGTAGTTTTAGAGGTTACAATACTGTTTCATTAGTATTATCTTGTAATATCTTGGGTCAAACCACCTTTAGTAAAAAAAGCTATAAGTATTTTGTCTGTCACAACTTCAACTTCCTGAGGGACTATATGTAAAAAATAATATAATTCCCCTTATTACTTATTCATTATTTGTTTTTATAGGAACCACTGTTATATTAATAATTTATTTACTGAACTGTGGTTTAAAATAAGTGTTTGCATTTTGCATGTAAAGTAAAAGGTATGAAACCACAACTTAAATAGAAAATGAAAAAATATAGATCTTAAAGATAATTTTTGATGCTTTTATTATATTCTTAATGACATGCTGATTTAGTAATAAATACAACTTATTAGAAATGGTGAAGTCTCCTGAATGAGCCAATTCTTGGGCTCATGGCACCCCAGTCAGTATATCTTCTGTACTCTCCAGGTCTCAGGTAATACTGGCGTCCTTTGTAATTTGGTTCCTCATAGAACATCCAGTAGCCATCAATCACCTGGCAGGAGTGGATGTCATGGTAACGGAATCTCTCATTGACATTAGCACAATCTTCAGTGAACTCCATCATCTGACCTCGGAAATCCTCTCTCTCATAGACCTTTACTCTGAATGATCCATGGTGCTTTACGAAGAAAATAATATTTATAAACAAGAGTAAAATAATTGTATAATTGCATGTAAATAACAAAAATCTATTCAGGACTATATATATATATATATATATATATTTTTTTTTTTATCAATGTTAACCACCTGTTACCTGACAATGGAATTTTGAATTGAAGATATATTCCATAAAATAATGAATAATAGTCAAAAAAGGTCATATTTGCAAAGGTAAACCTATAATAATTGATAATTGGAAAATAATGTTTTTTTGTACTGCATCATATTTATGTAAGGTTCTTAACTATTTTGGTAAATATCTTTACCTGTGGGCTAATACGACAAGATCTGATGGAGTCATTGAAACCCATCCATTGCTGGAAATTAGGATATTCTCCCCTGCTAAGGTAATACTGGTGTCCTCTATAGTTGGGGTGCTCATACAGAATCCAGTTTCCACTTTCCACTTGGATGGAATTACAGCGCTGAAAATATGAGGACATATCTGGACACTCAGAGTTGCACTCATAAGAGCGGCCCTGGAAGTTACGATCCTCGTAGAAGACAATCTGTGAAACAACCATGCATTTGAACATTTTAGATTTTTTAGTTTGTTATTGTTTTAGTGGTTAATAATTTCATTTAAAAAATAGTTTCTGGTTTGATTACTTGATGCTATAGATTCCTAAAAACATTTACTATTATCCTGTTCAAATAATAAAGTGTAGGTGTTAAACATATAAGTTTAGGACCGAATTGGAATATATGTTTTTGGTACATTTTGTGTTTTTTTAGATTGGTGAACTTGCATTCACTTTCACATAATTATAGCAATTTATTACGGTTAATAGTGGCATTCACTAGAAAGTACTTTCAAAAAAAAAAATCTTAATGTGAAGCATGTGTTCTGATGAATTTGTATTTGATGAGGCGGCAAATGTCCAAAACTAGTTTATGGAATATTATGTTGTCATGTTTCTGGCCTAGATAAACTCACCAGGATATATTGTATAGGATAAAGTTTGCTGGCATTCAGTGTAAGCATTTTAAACTTGAATTTGCTTTGGTTCATTTTAAAAAAAAAAAATCTGTTTATTGTTTCCAAAATTTCTTGTGTTGCAAATATTTACAATATTCAGATCATCTTACCTTTCCCATTTTCAGTGATGGTTGATCTGCTCATGCAAGTTGTGCTGTTACATAGCATGAAGAGCCTTTATATACTGTTTACCTTGCTGATGCTGAAAACAGTACTGAGCTGGTTTCTTTTCATCAGTAATTAGAATGTATAGCTATTGTATACTCTGCTTCAGTATAGCTATTGTATTGTATCCTATATGCTTTTTTGTTTACCTGCTGGCACAAGCATTTCCTGGTTCTAAGGGAGATCTAGAGAAAATGTGACAGGCCTTTTTTTCAACTAGATTATTTCTATTCCTACTGAGGAAAAAACTACTTTAAAGCATATTTTACAAAAAGAAAAGAAAAAAGGTTTGACATCATTGCCAATTGTTCTGCAACTTGTTTAAGTTCTGTTTTTAAAGATATTATTATTATTATTATTAGGAGGTTAAATTATATATATTATATTGTGTGACATGTAATTTGAAACTAAAGTACATTCATGTTAGTTTTACCAGTCAAATGCATCAGTTATAATCACAGCCATTTATTCATCCCATTACACCTCCTGAACTCAGGCTAGAATTGTGTTTTTGTGTATTTTCAACGTTATCACAATCCAAAACATTTGAACTATTAAAAATAAAGTTACATCTCGGCTTATCTCTTATTGGTATTCACATTATCTCATGATCATGGAATTAACAACAAATTAAATAGTGCTTGTAACGGAGCTCCTTGTACTCCGACTGAATACCCTCCGTTGACGGATGCTCCTAGCGCTTCCTGAGGACTCCAAGCGCTGCAGCAGACACCACAACCACTGCAGACTCCGCAACCGCCGTATCTTGACTGGAGTCTCGCCGTCTTCCTTCCACCCTGGATCAGCTTCTGTCCTCCAGGACTGTGTGGGAAAGAACTCTTCCTTCCACCCTGTACGAACCTCCAGCATCCAGGACTGTGTGGTGAAGACCCCTCCTCCAAGGAGAGCGTGTCAGGAACAAGCTCTTAAAAGAGCTAAGTGACTCAAGCTCAGGGGAGCATGCCATAGCAATCCCCAGTGTGATTATAACAGCTCCCTCCAATAACGAGACAAGGCTACGTTTAGAGGGATCAAGAAGAACTGTCAAAACCTTTATTCCCTTGGGACCAGCCAATAGGGTCACCACAATAACATTGTTGTGAAAACTCAATAAAATCCCAAACAGTCAAACCAAATCAAGCAACACACAGTGACTTATCACAACACAATGGCACATTTTTAAAGGGGTAGGGGGAGACAATATTTAACAGTAAATATCTCACCTGCCTGCAGAATTAGCAATATGCAAATCCACCTGAATATGCAAATGAACCAGTCTTGCAATTCAGGTAGTGCATATTGCTGTTGCTACCAACAGAGGGCACTAGACAAGTTCCATAGCCAAACCCACCTAGTTGGTAGCAAACCTCAGCAATACAAGAGAGCAGGCAATACATTACACAGTACACACACACACACACACTATAAACAATTACATTACACACACCCTGCACCTATAATGGGTACAGGGTGACTAAAACATAAGATAAATAAAGCAGCCTACATAAATAGTCTGTCTGAAGGTATACTAGGGGCTTTAAAGCCAGATACATGAAAGAGTCATAGTCACAGGGGAGGAGGCTGGCAAGTAGGCCTCTCCAGGACCAAGTGGCGAAGGGCACTTCGTCACAGTGCTCTTTGTGGTTACATAAAATATTGAATGTTATTATTCTTAATAATCCTTATTTTGTTTCCACAGTAATAAAATTACATCCACACTTTTGCATGCCTAGACATTTACAAACAAAACACAATAACACACCAGAAACAGTTGAGAGGAGAGAAGATTGAGTTAAATAATAGAAGCATGTACCTATCCTATCCAAATTATAGATTAGATTATTATAAAAATAACTCTCTTTTAATTATTAGAGCTGAAAAACGTAAATGCTTTTTGAAGACAACATTCTCGTATTCTTTTGTTTTTAGCTGATGAGGTATTAATCCAACTTAGTCTGTTTTTCATCTTAAATTGGAAAATAATTTGATCTTTCCTTTGGATTTCTTAATTTCTTGGGATTGTTTCTAACGTTCACCCTTTTAAAAAACTATTGGCTCCCTTGCCACCTTTGATTTCCTCTCTGACACAATCAAGATCCCTTTCAGTAAAACTATCATTGTTGCAGGAATTTAACGCCCACCTAGCTTCCTAGTGTATTACTTTTAGACATAGCCCTATTCCTTTGTGAAACTGTAGCTCAAAACCAAAAAAGTGAACTGTTGATTTTTGGAGATGTTAATAATGTTAATAAAGGGACACACCTGCACTGGGTTATGAAATATATGTATTGAACTTTAAATATCTGATGTGTTGTAGGATTTTATCTTTGTGATATGAATATTATAAGTTTTGTATTAGTTGAAATTAATTTCCTTTTAAAATACTTTCAGACACAAGAACTGAGAGATCCTATTTATTTGTTTACCAATGTTCACCACATATGGTTCTTGTTGAGATAATGATTGATGAAAGCCTGTTGATATTACCTTTTGACCTAGTATTGCAAGCAAGACTCCCATGTGTATTAGGAAGTTTCTTTTTGAAGAAATTCATTTAATCATGTAAACAGAAAGACCTTCGTGTAAATTATATTTTACCCCCCAAGAATAAACATTTGTATAAAACACAAAATGGAGAAATAAAGTAAACAGAGTGCAGGTCAGGAGTCTGGATACAAGTCAAGGGCTCATGAGCTGCACCACTGTAACCACCTAATAGGGAGCTCCAATGAGGACACTAGGGGAACTGGAACGTAGATGCTAGTTAGTATTCCCCTGGGCACCATTTAGTATGTCTCCCTTTTTTCAAGTTATACTTTTTGTTTGCATATCCCTTTTTATCCTTAGATTGATTAAAGGGAGGGCCCCCATTCCTCATTTCTTAAACAGTGGAGCTCTCCTGATGTTAGTTTCCCCTTGTGGGACTCTATACATCACCTACCTCTATTTCCTAACCATTTGTATAATGTCTGGCTCTAATCAGAGATTGGACAGAATGGTTAAGCCACAACCTTTTTCTATGATGGCCACATATTTTAAAGTGTCAGGTAACCTTATGTGTACGCCTCGTGAGTAACTGAATTTTAGACATATACAAACATTTACAGTTAGAAATTCCTCACCAATACTTCTAACAACAAAAATGAATATTATCTTGAAGTGCTTACACATTGCTCTATTGGTCCAGATGTGTGCAAAGACTTTGTGTTATTTTCTCATGGTGTGTATGTTTGAATAAATATACATTTTTGGCTGCAATACAATCTGATTTGATTATTGGAACTTTGGTGTGACAAACATCTCAGGAACAGCTAATTTCCTACATTTAATAATGGAGAATGTGGGCAGGATTTAAGTCTGTACATAAAAACTGTTTAAGATCCTGCAAAATAAATTGTATCATCCTAATTTAAAAGAATGATGTATACATATAGTACAGGAGTGTCTCATATGTGCTCAATTTAATCCAAGACCTAAAGACTAGAAACCAAAGTTACAGAGAGTATCTGTGGCAAAACGACCATGGAACTCTATTTAAATTGTTTTACATTAACATTTAAATTGAAAAATAAACGCTTGTAGTTAAAGGGAGTAGTTGGGTAACATATTTACTAGGAGTATTAATGTATATTCATGCAACTCCAAACTCTAAAACGCAAGTGTCACCTCATGAGTTAATGACAGGCAGAACAATGCCAATCACTTTCCCCAATGAATCTTTTGTTCCAAGTACTTTCAAATTTGCATCAGGACATGCTGAATAGTTGAAAGTATTACAGGAACAGCTGCAATCAGTTTTAAAATGTGCTGCTTCAAATATTGTCTCTTCTGGTAAACAATGTGTTAAAGGGATACTGTAGTTCCAGGAATACAAAGCTGCATTCCTGGCACTACCGATTCCTCTACCTCCCCCTTGCCCTGCGCCCCCTTCCCTAGTAAATAGAGGGTTAAAAACCCTTTATTTACTTAACTTATCCCAGTGCCGATATTCCTCGGTGCTGTGTGGAAGCTCCGCCCCCTCCTCCACCCTGCGACAAGCAGGGTCTAATGCGCATGTGTGGCAAACGCCGCACGCGCATAAGACCTCCCCTTCGGAAAGCATTGAATCAATGCTTTGTTATGGGGAAAATCTGACGTCCTCATGTAGAGGGTGAGGACGTCCAGCGTTAGATAAAGGACCAAAAGTCTGTTACGATTCTGGAAGCGCCCCCAGTTACTCTCTGGTAGACAGCCACTGAAGGCAGACCTAGAGCTGCAATATAAACATTGCAGTCATCTATTGTGATTTGCTAGCTTAAAAGGGAGAACTTGACAATCAGTTACAAGTGTTTATACTTGATATAGAAAGTCTGAGGGAGAGTATGACCTGAAAATAAGCTGCACTATAGAATGAGGATAAACTGCTACTCAGTACAAAGAAACAATAGTAGTACTATAAAAAATAAATATAATAAAAATAAAAATAAACCATCATAGACAGAAACTACCCGTAGTTACTCCTCTGTGGTAACATATGAGCAATTAAAATAGCCATTTGATAATCAGATATTAGCTAATAGCAGTCAATTGGACCTCACAAGTCCGTCAAATGGACGTCATAAGGTTGAGCATCTATGAAACTGCAGGAATATTGCAAAGTACGGGCACAAACAAGGTCAATTGAGTTATCTTCTCCATATCCCATCAATGGGGAGATCTGGTTGTAACCCCTCCAGGATTATTAGTGTACAGAGGAGTCCCTAGTCTTCTTAGGAAAGCATTCACTTCTGAAGAGTACCTAATATAATGTATGGCATCCTCATGTGTGATCATGGGAAGTTTAGAATGTGATGCCTTAGGGTCTCAGACTTATGGTCATGCTTCAATAATTGTCTCCAGGCCAGAGTGATTTGTGTCAAATTAAATGTTAGCAAATTAAATGTTTCAAAAGAATATCCTGACTGTTCTTAGACAGTCAGGAATTGTACAAATACATAACTCAAAGTCTCTATGTAAGAATTTGAGTGTCTTAAGAAACTTATACTAGTGTGTGAAAAAAATCTATTAATGCTAGTGGAGTTTGTTTGTTTATGAGATAAAACAGTTCATAATAGGCATGGAATAAAATTTGTCCATTCTTCCAAAAAAAATTCCTCTTGTACCCCACACATTTTTTAAGCAACCCACATTCTCCACCAGGCACTCCCTGTGATGGATGAAAGTGAACAGATTTGAGATTTGCCTTTTCCAGATATCACCACAGTCCTTCAATGTTGCCTGTTGTCCCACAGTAGGGCTTTAATTTCCCTTTTGTATTTGGTCTTCCTTATTATCCTTTAGCATGATGGCAACTATGTTGTGGTAGGTGATTAGATGGATCCCGCCCAAGAAGAACTTCTCTTTTGACTTAATGTGCCATTTTAAGCACAAGGCGGCTGCATAAGCATAATATCTATACGTTGTGAACTAGGGTCAGGATCTGATACCGCTGTTAAGAGCATTCCCCAATCCTGTCAAGTTAATATTTAAGCTTCTGAAAACAGATAAATACAGGTAAATGTGTTTTTTGCTGCCAAAATACTGAGAATCTTGGATCCCAAACAATATCTGGTCTGCTGGAAATTACCTCCACCCACCTACATGTAGTTTTAGAGGTTACAATACTGTTTCATTAGTATTATCTTGTAATATCTTGGGTCAAACCACCTTCAGTAAAAAAAGCTATAAGTATTTTGATGTCACAACTTCAACTTCCTGAGGGACTATATGTAAAAAATAATATAATTCCCCTTATTACTTACTCATTATTTGTTTTTATAGGAACCACTGTTATATTAATAATTTATTTACTGAACTGTGGTTTAAAATAAGTGTTTGCATTTTGCATGTAAAGTAAAAGGTATGAAACCACAACTTAAATAGAAAATGAAAAAATATAGACCTTAAAGATAATTTTTGATGCTTTTATTATATTCTTAATGACATGCTGATTTAGTAATAAATACAACTTATTAGAAATGGTGAAGTCTCCTGAATGAGCCAATTCTTGGGCTCATGGCACCCCAGTCAGTATATCTTCTGTACTCTCCAGGTCTCAGGTAATACTGGCGTCCTTTGTAATTTGGTTCCTCATAGAACATCCAGTAGCCATCAATCACCTGGCAGGAGTGGATGTCATGGTAACGGAATCTCTCATTGACATTAGGACAATCTTCAGTGAACTCCATCATCTGACCTCGGAAATCCTCCCTCTCATAGACCTTTACTCTGAATGATCCATGGTGCTTTACGAAGAAAAAAATATTTATAAACAAGAGTAAAATAATTGTATAATTGCATGTAAACATCAAAAATCTATACAGGAATATATATATATATATATATATATATATATATATATATATATATATTTATCCATGTTAACCACCTGTTACCTGACAATGGAATTTTGAATTGAAGATATATTCCATAAAATCATGAATAATAGTCAAAAAAGGTCATATTTGCAAAGGTAAACCTATAATAATTGATAATTGGAAAATAATGTTTTTTTGTACTGCATCATATTTATGTAAGGTTCTTAACTATTTTGGTAAATATCTTTACCTGTGGGCTAATACGACAAGATCTGATGGAGTCATTGAAACCCATCCATTGCTGGAAATTAGGATATTCTCCCCTGCTAAGGTAATACTGGTGTCCTCTATAGTTGGGGTGCTCATACAGAATCCAGTTTCCACTTTCCACTCGGATGGAATTACAGCGCTGAAAATATGAGGACATATCTGGACACTCAGAGTTGCACTCATAAGAGCGGCCCTGGAAGTTACGATCCTCGTAGAAGACAATCTGTGAAACAACCATGCATTTGAACATTTTAGATTTTTTAGTTTGTTATTGTTTTAGTGGTTAATAATTTCATTTAAAAAATAGTTTCTGGTTTGATTACTTGATGCTATAGATTCCTAAAAACATTTACTATTATCCTGTTCAAATAATAAAGTGTAGGTGTTAAACATATAAGTTTAGGACCGAATTGGAATATATGTTTTTGGTACATTTTGTGTTTTTTTAGATTGGTGAACTTGCATTCACTTTCACATAATTATAGCAATTTATTACGGTTAATAGTGGCATTCACTAGAAAGTACTTTCAAAAACTGAAAAAATCTTAATCTTGAGTCTGAAAAAAGTAAACATGTGAAGCATGTGTTCTGATGAATTTGTATTTGATGAGGCGGCAAATGTCCAAAACTAGTTTATGGAATATTATGTTGTCATGTTTCTGGCCTAGATAAACTCACCAGGATATATTGTATAGGATAAAGTTTGCTGGCATTCAGTGTAAGCATTTTAAACTTGAATTTGCTTTGGTTCATTTAAAAAAAAAAAAATCTGTTTATTGTTTCCAAAATTTCTTGTGTTGCAAATATTTACAATATTCAGATCATCTTACCTTTCCCATTTTCAGTGATGGTTGATCTGCTCATGCAAGTTGTGCTGTTACATAGCATGAAGAGCCTTTATATACTGTTTACCTTGCTGATGCTGAAAACAGTACTGAGCTGGTTTCTTTTCATCAGTAATTAGAATGTATAGCTATTGTATACTCTGCTTCAGTATAGCTATTGTATTGTATCCTATATGCTTTTTTGTTTACCTGCTGGCACAAGCATTTCCTGGTTCTAAGGGAGATCTAGAGAAAATGTGACAGGCCTTTTTTTCAACTAGATTATTTCTATTCCTACTGAGGAAAAAACTACTTTAAAGCATATTTTACAAAAAGAAAAGAAAAAAGGTTTGACATCATTGCCAATTGTTCTGCAACTTGTTTAAGTTCTGTTTTTAAAGATATTATTATTATTATTATTAGGAGGTTAAATTATATATATTATATTGTGTGACATGTAATTTGAAACTAAAGTACATTCATGTTAGTTTTACCAGTCAAATGCATCAGTTATAATCACAGCCATTTATTCATCCCATTACACCTCCTGAACTCAGGCTTGAATTGTGTTTTTGTGTATTTTCAACGTTATCACAATCCAAAACATTTGAACTATTAAAAATAAAGTTACATCTCGGCTTATCTCTTATTGGTATTCACATTATCTCATGATCATGGAATTAACAACAAATTAAATAGTGCTTGTAACGGAGCTCCTTGTACTCCGACTGAATACCCTCCGTTGACGGATGCTCCTAGCGCTTCCTGAGGACTCCAAGCGCTGCAGCAGACACCACAACCACTGCAGACTCCGCAACCGCCGTATCTTGACTGGAGTCTCGCCGTCTTCCTTCCACCCTGGATCAGCTTCTGTCCTCCAGGACTGTGTGGGAAAGAACTCTTCCTTCCACCCTGTACGAACCTCCAGCATCCAGGACTGTGTGGTGAAGACCCCTCCTCCAAGGAGAGCGTGTCAGGAACAAGCTCTTAAAAGAGCTAAGTGACTCAAGCTCAGGGGAGCATGCCAATCCCCAGTGTGATTATAACAGCTCCCTCGAATAACGAGACAAGGCTACGTTTAGAGGGATCAAGAAGAACTGTCAAAACCTTTATTCCCTTGGGACTGGCCAATAGGGTCACCACAATAACATTGTTGTAAAAACACAATAAAATCCCAAACAGTCAAACCAAATCAAGCAACACACAGTGACTTATCACAACACAATGGCACATTTTTAAAGGGGTAGGGGGAGACAATATTTAACAGTAAATATCTCACCTGCCTGCAGAATTAGCAATATGCAAATCCACCTGAATATGCAAATGAACCAGTCTTGCAATTCAGGTAGTGCATATTGCTGTTGCTACCAACAGAGGGCACTAGACAAGTTCCATAGCCAAACCCACCTAGTTGGTAGCAAACCTCAGCAATACAAGAGAGCAGGCAATACATTACACAGTACACACACACACACTATAAACAATTACATTACACACACCCTGCACCTATAATGGGTACAGGGTGACTAAAACATAAGATAAATAAAGCAGCCTACATAAATAGTCTGTCTGAAGGTATACTAGGGGCTTTAAAGCCAGATACATGAAAGAGTCATAGTCACAGGGGAGGAGGCTGGCAAGTAGGCCTCTCCAGGACCAAGTGGCGAAGGGCACTTCGTCACAGTGCTCTTTGTGGTTACATAAAATATTGAATGTTATTATTCTTAATAATCCTTATTTTGTTTCCACAGTAATAAAATTACATCCACACTTTTGCATGCCTAGACATTTACAAACAAAACACAATAACACACCAGAAACAGTTGAGAGGAGAGAAGATTGAGTTAAATAATAGAAGCATGTACCTATCCTATCCAAATTATAGATTAGATTATTATAAAAATAACTCTCTTTTAATTATTAGAGCTGAAAAACGTAAATGCTTTTTGAAGACAACATTCTCGTATTCTTTTGTTTTTAGCTGATGAGGTATTAATCCAACTTAGTCTGTTTTTCATCTTAAATTGGAAAATAATTTGATCTTTCCTTTGGATTTCTTAATTTCTTGGGATTGTTTCTAACGTTCACCCTTTTAAAAAACTATTGGCTCCCTTGCCACCTTTGATTTCCTCTCTGACACAATCAAGATCCCTTTCAGTAAAACTATCATTGTTGCAGGAATTTAACGCCCACCTAGCTTCCTAGTGTATTACTTTTAGACATAGCCCTATTCCTTTGTGAAACTGTAGCTCAAAACCAAAAAAGTGAACTGTTGATTTTTGGAGATGTTAATAATGTTAATAAAGGGACACACCTGCACTGGGTTATGAAATATATGTATTGAACTTTAAATATCTGATGTGTTGTAGGATTTTATCTTTGTGATATGAATATTATAAGTTTTGTATTAGTTGAAATTAATTTCCTTTTAAAATACTTTCAGACACAAGAACTGAGAGATCCTATTTATTTGTTTACCAATGTTCACCACATATGGTTCTTGTTGAGATAATGATTGATGAAAGCCTGTTGATATTACCTTTTGACCTAGTATTGCAAGCAAGACTCCCATGTGTATTAGGAAGTTTCTTTTTGAAGAAATTCATTTAATCATGTAAACAGAAAGACCTTCGTGTAAATTATATTTTACCCCCCAAGAATAAACATTTGTATAAAACACAAAATGGAGAAATAAAGTAAACAGAGTGCAGGTCAGGAGTCTGGATACAAGTCAAGGGCTCATGAGCTGCACCACTGTAACCACCTAATAGGGAGCTCCAATGAGGACACTAGGGGAACTGGAACGTAGATGCTAGTTAGTATTCCCCTGGGCACCATTTAGTATGTCTCCCTTTTTTCAAGTTATACTTTTTGTTTGCATATCCCTTTTTATCCTTAGATTGATTAAAGGGAGGGCCCCATTCCTCATTTCTTAAACAGTGGAGCTCTCCTGATGTTAGTTTCCCCTTGTGGGACTCTATACATCACCTACCTCTATTTCCTAACCATTTGTATAATGTCTGGCTCTAATCAGAGATTGGACAGAATGGTTAAGCCACAACCTTTTTCTATGATGGCCACATATTTTAAAGTGTCAGGTAACCTTATGTGTACGCCTCGTGAGTAACTGAATTTTAGACATATACAAACATTTACAGTTAGAAATTCCTCACCAATACTTCTAACAACAAAAATGAATATTATCTTGAAGTGCTTACACATTGCTCTATTGGTCCAGATGTGTGCAAAGACTTTGTGTTATTTTCTCATGGTGTGTATGTTTGAATAAATATACATTTTTGGCTGCAATACAATCTGATTTGATTATTGGAACTTTGGTGTGACAAACATCTCAGGAACAGCTAATTTCCTACATTTAATAATGGAGAATGTGAGCAGGATTTAAGTCTGTACATAAAAACTGTTTAAGATCCTGCAAAATAAATTGTATCATCCTAATTTAAAAGAATGATGTATACATATAGTACAGGAGTGTCTCATATGTGCTCAATTTAATCCAAGACCTAAAGACTAGAAACCAAAGTTACAGAGAGTATCTGTGGCAAAACGACCATGGAACTCTATTTAAATTGTTTTACATTAACATTTAAATTGAAAAATAAACGCTTGTAGTTAAAGGGAGTAGTTGGGTAACATATTTACTAGGAGTATTAATGTATATTCATGCAACTCCAAACTCTAAAACGCAAGTGTCACCTCATGAGTTAATGACAGGCAGAACAATGCCAATCACTTTCCCCAATGAATCTTTTGTTCCAAGTACTTTCAAATTTGCATCAGGACATGCTGAATAGTTGAAAGTATTACAGGAACAGCTGCAATCAGTTTTAAAATGTGCTGCTTCAAATATTGTCTCTTCTGGTAAACAATGTGTTAAAGGGATACTGTAGTTCCAGGAATACAAAGCTGCATTCCTGGCACTACCGATTCCTCTACCTCCCCCTTGCCCTGCGCCCCCTTCCCTAGTAAATAGAGGGTTAAAAACCCTTTATTTACTTAACTTATCCCAGTGCCGATATTCCTCGGTGCTGTGTGGAAGCTCCGCCCCCTCCTCCACCCTGCGACAAGCAGGGTCTAATGCGCATGTGTGGCAAACGCCGCACGCGCATAAGACCTCCCCTTCGGAAAGCATTGAATCAATGCTTTGTTATGGGGAAAATCTGACGTCCTCATGTAGAGGGTGAGGACGTCCAGCGTTAGATAAAGGACCAAAAGTCTGTTACGATTCTGGAAGCGCCCCCAGTTACTCTCTGGTAGACAGCCACTGAAGGCAGACCTAGAGCTGCAATATAAACATTGCAGTCATCTATTGTGATTTGCTAGCTTAAAAGGGAGAACTTGACAATCAGTTACAAGTGTTTATACTTGATATAGAAAGTCTGAGGGAGAGTATGACCTGAAAATAAGCTGCACTATAGAATGAGGATAAACTGCTACTCAGTACAAAGAAACAATAGTAGTACTATAAAAAATAAATATAATAAAAATAAAAATAAACCATCATAGACAGAAACTACCCGTAGTTACTCCTCTGTGGTAACATATGAGCAATTAAAATAGCCATTTGATAATCAGATATTAGCTAATAGCAGTCAATTGGACCTCACAAGTCCGTCAAATGGACGTCATAAGGTTGAGCATCTATGAAACTGCAGGAATATTGCAAAGTACGGGCACAAACAAGGTCAATTGAGTTATCTTCTCCATATCCCATCAATGGGGAGATCTGGTTGTAACCCCTCCAGGATTATTAGTGTACAGAGGAGTCCCTAGTCTTCTTAGGAAAGCATTCACTTCTGAAGAGTACCTAATATAATGTATGGCATCCTCATGTGTGATCATGGGAAGTTTAGAATGTGATGCCTTAGGGTCTCAGACTTATGGTCATGCTTCAATAATTGTCTCCAGGCCAGAGTGATTTGTGTCAAATTAAATGTTAGCAAATTAAATGTTTCAAAAGAATATCCTGACTGTTCTTAGACAGTCAGGAATTG